TATATATATATATATATTTATATATGTATATATATATATATATATATGTATATATATATTATACATATATATATATATATATATGTATGTATCGTGGACGGTGCGTAGGCAAAATCCTTAGAAAGTATAATTTACTATTTACATCATCTCAATGGTCCTTTTTTAGTGATCGCATCCTCGCATCGCTTATTAAATTAAAAAACAAAAATAAGGATAGGCTTAAGTGAGAGAAGAAGAAAAAATAGAAAGGAAAATAAACAAAAATAAAAAAAAATTAACACTGAATCATGTAATAAATACTTAAACGCGTCACTCTCTATATCCGTCCATTAATCTCATTATATATACATACACGTGTTGTATTTCCTCTCTAAAATATATTACGTAATAAATATGTAAGATGAAAAATAAGAAATGAAATTAAGATTATATATTTTGGAGATATTATTTTTTCTTGATAGTAATTTTGAAAGTAATTTTTTTCACTACTCGAAGCATGTGTGTATGTATGTTTTTTTAGTGTCATTTATTTTTATTTTTTTTGGTTTTATTTTTTTATTTTTTTTTAAGGCGCAAGACTAAATAATATACAAAAGTCCTAAGGTGAGATTTTAAAAATCAATTATTCCTTTCCGTGATATTTGTTTACAACTTGCAACTATTAGACAGTTTAGTTTTACAAATTGGATTTTAGTAGTTTTATAATTTGAAAATATTTGTTTATTTTATTTTCAATTATATTAAAACACTCTCTTTTCAAAAAAGATTAATTGATTTTTAAGAGCACCTAGGAAAACTTTTGCTTCATATAAATATTTCTTTTAACTATGAACATTTTTAAAAGTTCAATGAAAGTATTTGTTTTTTTAATTGATGAATTTTTAATTAATATTGATATTACTCCCTTATTTGTAATTCAAAAACTGAATCGATGTTTTCTTAATAAAGAAAAAAAGATAAGAAAATGAAAAAAAGAAAGGAATGCCGGTAAATTTGCAAAATTTGTCATTATAATGTTCAATAATAATAATAACAACAAAAGAAGCGTGTGTCCTGCGCTTATTTTCTGAATAGAATTCAATTTTTTGTTCTAAATAAATAAGTCAATCGTGTGATTAGAAAATTGCACACAATCATTGATAAATTAAATACCGGAATAATGAATGAATTGATAAATACACAAAAAATATAGTAAATAATATTTTTTTTGTCGAGAGTAAGGTTTCTGAAACAATTACACATACACACACATATATATATATATATATGCATAAAGCTATATCAACGAGAGTTATGTGCTCATTATTAAAGTATCGTCTCACTTAATTCAAAAATAGAGATAGGCATCTTTTAAGAAAACAACGCTTTTAATAGGAATGTCTTGTTAACAAAAATTCCTCCCAAAAAACACACAAATAAAAAGGAAAAGCGATCGTGGAAATTGTGTGTCACGTATTTAGCACCATATTTTCAGCCTAGCCGTTTCACGAAAAAATAACATTAGAAATACGTTAGAACAAATATAAACATATATTATTATTTCGAGTATTATCTTTTAAATGAAAGAAATACTCTATATCATAATTTTTCTTATATATATATATATGTTTTGTCCCCAAATTCTCGCTCGAACGTATTTCACATGAAGTAATAATAGGAAAATGTATTTGTTCATTGTGGCAATATTGTTATTAATTAAATAGTTCGTTTTTTAAATCAGGGCCGTATATCTTCGCGAAAAGAAAGGAACGATGCGAAACGTAAAAGAACATAGGTCATTTTAGAAAAATTATTAAGCTTAAATAATGACGATGACGATGATGATGACGACCTTAATGATGACCTAGATGATGGTTTTTTTTTGGACGATTCTATTATTCGTTTTTGTCGAGTTTCGTTAATTAAACGACGACAAGAACAACTATTGATAATATTGTCCGAATCTGGATTATTTAGTTGTAGATGATTATCGTTAACAACGTATCGGCAGTAAATCTTTCTTGATTTATCGTAATAAATCTTTTTCTTCTTTTGCCGACACGAATTTGATCTTGGCTATTGGCTCGAACGTTTGCACTCGCTTATTGATGCCATTATCGTCGTTTCCATTGTTTCTACTCGGTTCCATTCAGGCATTTTTGTTTGCTCTATCGTTGCCTATAAAACACACAAATATTTATATTTATAATATATAATAATATTATATGATGTTAATTAAATATATATATGTATATTTAATGTAAAAACAAAATTAGTGAAAACTACACAACAAATATAATATATTATTGTCTATTATTTTAAATGATAGTAACAATATCATTATAAAGTTTATTTAATAAATCTTATATATACATTTTTGTTGTTGATATATTTATTTTAAATTTACATATTAATTATCAGTTAATATGTATGTAATTATTAACTCTATTATATATTAATAATATATAATAGAAAAAAATAAAATAAGATAAGATTAAAAGTAATAAAATAAATGTTAATAATGTTTACCGAGTTGTTGGGAGGATTCTTAGCCATGTAGATCATAAGGGAGCGGCCTTGGTTGCTAAACGGCCTCCGCTCCGGATCTCGACCGGGTCCATCCACCGTGTCGAAGCAGTTACTACTGATGGCATATAAAGAAAGAAGGAAACATTAAATATTTACTATAACGTGCCTTCAACAAAAGAGAGGGATTTAATGATATGTCGAAGATTTCATTTTATACATACATATACGTTACCCTTAAAGTATATATTGATTAGAAAAATACAATTAATTTACAAAAAGAGCTTAAGTTGTACACGAAATAACTAGACGTTTTAGGGAAAGTATATAAAAAGAATTTTATTATACCCTTAAATTCATTTTTTAAGAAAAAAAAACTAGATAAAATACGAATTCACGAGAAGCGAGTATAGTTGAAATATAAAATTGAGATTTGACCCGTTTTAAAAATTAGATTTTGTTTATACAATAAGGCTCGCAGTTATCCTTTCTTATTTTTTTCCTGTACTTTAATAATCAATGTTCTGTTAATTGTGCTGTTCAATCAGATTTAATCTACAGTTCTATTTTCAATTTTATATTTTAGTTGCTTCTTATGAATTCTTATATTACTTATTGTTATAGTTAAAGCATGTAATTCTGCTTTCTTTCATATTCTATTAGGTCAATATAGTTATTTAACGATTTAGCTGATTATTTTTTATTGAATTTACGGATTATATGTTTTAACGGTAACATACATATATATAAAATTTTCTTACTATTACTACTATTTCCATTTTATTGTATCTCACCTTGTTCGCAGTTCCTTCTGCTTTCTCTTACAATGGATGTAAGCTGCTATGCAAATGATTACGACGAGAAAGACTGCTATCGTCGCACCACTTGCGATACTTGCTGTCTCCAACATTACGCGTTGACGAGAAGCTGCAATTATTAATTTTGTTTTTTTTTTATTCTTTTTATTTCAATGTCTGCACAATTATTTGATATGAGTTACATTTAACAAAATATATTACACAAGTTAAATGATCAAAAGTGTTCTTTAATGTTATTTTAAATATTAATTATGTTGTTCTTTTATTTTTGGGTAGACTAATGTTCGTTTTGATTTTTTGATTATACAATAACAAGACTTTAGGAATTTTTAATTCATTCTATGTAACGACCAATACAATACTACATTTGTTAAATATTATAGGTAACATCATTATAAAAATTATTATTAACTCAAGTAAATTGTCTTCAAAATATTATTTAACAATAAAACAACTGATCTAATAATATTATGAGAATTTATATGAGATTATAAATATAACAGTGTCTTTCAATTATCATAAGAAAGATACATCAAGTTATTATAGTAATTTGTTACAAATTTTAATTAAGAATAACGACATTTGAGATGATAACAATTAAGAATTAAAATTGTTAAAATGTATATGTGAGTATGTGAGAAAAAAAAAAGATCAAAGAATTTACTTACGTAAATAGGAACCATCCAAGTCTTTAAATTCGCATCTCTGCCCGATATAACCATTAGCACATCTATAATAAAAGTAAGATAAAAAAAAACAACAAATTAATCAAAATGAATGAATAAAAGTATGAAAGATTAAAGATAAATATTATTTAAATATAAGAATAAGAGTCAAAAAGTTTGA